TATTTCCACTAACGCTCAACTTTACATATTGCATAGAACTACACCAACATTAAAAACTAATTATCTTAAATTGAGCATCACAGTATATGTCGGAGTTCCTAAGGTCGATCGTATATACGGATTTCTTATATATACAGTGTGTCCCTAAATGATTTTCCAATTAAAATTTAAAAAAATCCCTAAAACATGTCAATTAGTAAATATAAATTGTCACTTTTCTGCTATATTTTCTATTTTTTTTATCCATGTTTGACAAACCTATAACATTATCGCCATTTTCTTTTAATAGGACGCTCTATATTTTATAGTATAAATGGATGTAAAGACGAATTCAGCGACATAAGGTTATACCTACTTTTTTGTCATAGTTGTCAAAAAATGGAGGAATGAAATGAAAACAATAATTTAGTACTATTTTTTATTTTATTACAGCAAATATTCAAAGTGGTCCCCATTAACCATTGAACAAAGCCCAATTCGGTGCTCAAAGTTATCAGTTACATTTTGAATAACATTTGGTGTTATATTTCGAACTTTTTCTCTGATACGATTTTTCAATCCTTCAATAGCGTCCGGTCTGTTCACATACACTTCGCTTTTTAGATAACCCGACAAAAAAATCTAGTGGGGTTAAGTCAGGGGAGCGTGGTGGCCATTCAAGCGGCCCTCTTCTTCCTATCCATCGATTTGGATTAAAGTAATTTCTTACATCGAGGTACAGTCATCACCAGCAGGCACATCGTGCTCATTAGGATTAGGAAAAATTTATTCCAGGGCTGGAATCAGCTGAAAACGCAAAAATCCAAATAAATGTTGTCTGTCAAATTGCCTTCAAAGAAATAAGGTCCCAGTATGCGACTTCCTACTATTCCAGCCCCAAACATTCACTTTTTCCGGTTGTGTGTTTTTCTTGTATCCAATGCGAATTTTCTGGACTCCAAAATCTAGTATTTTGCCTGTTCACGGTTCCGTTAAAGCAAAAAGCTTTATAGTAAGTAGAAAAAGATTAATAAAGAGTAGGTACGTTTTTTAAACTACAGAAGAGACTATGATTGTTTGAAATAGTCGTCAGTACGTCATAAAAGCCAATTTTTTACATTTTTTTGACAACTATGACAAAGAAGTAGGGCTATCTATTTATACTAAAAATAAAAATAAAATATAGAGTGTCCTATTAAAAAAATATGTCGGTAATGTTATAGGTCTGTCAAACATAGCTCAAAAAATAGAAAATATTGCAGAAAATTGACAATTTCTCCTACTAATTGACCTTGTTTCAGCGGTTTTTTAAAATATGAACTGGAAAAAAATATGAATTTTGTTTCATCATACTGTGTACACACAAATATTTTACTTATATTGACGATATTTGCGGCGCATGCACCGAGTTCACTCCAGACAAACGTAAATAAAGAAAAACCGTTAAAAGGGGGCCCATTTGCATAGGTAGGCAGGCATTAACGGGGCAGCGTGTCAGGAGCCCACTCCATCCCTGTTCAGAGCAGTTGAGAATAAAAGTAGTGAGCTCAGCAATTTGCTATCCTGGGTCCGGGACTTTGATTTATATGTCCGGAGCCTCGCTAAATATTCCGGATCCTCTACAACTCCCTTCCGGTGTTCGGATCGATTCGCAATTTTTGAAATAAATTCTGTACGGCAATGCTTATCGATTGCGGGCATATTTTCAGCTGCATAAATGGGAATTTAGAGGCGCTCGTATCACTGAGCGGGGCTAGTTTTTATTGGTCACGCTGCAAAAAATTAAGGTGTAATTGCTGAGGAGAATATACGTATTCTGTAAATTTTTCGTTTAATTTCCTGCAAAAAATACCTTTTTCTCGAAATTTTTCTATTTGAATATATAATTAGGTACGTAGTTAGTGTAACATTAGTGTGATGACCTAGAAAATTAACGAAAATATTGATACACAGCAAACTTCGAAATTTCGATTTCGAACTTTAGATTAAATTAACTTAAAATTTCGACTTCATTTACGAAATTCATTTTTTAAAGTCAAAATACATAGAGTTGTGATACAAGTTGGAAGCAAGGAATTTCGAGTTTGAAAAACTCAAATTCGAAATTTCAAATTTGAACCCGAAGTTTAATGTCTAAAACTGGCAACTTCGTGTTAAAACTCGAAATTTATCAAAGTTAAAGTACCTAAGTTTCAAGTTCTTGAAAATTCTTGTTTAAATAAATTGCCGTAAAGTACCATAATTGCAAACTATTCTCAACGTTGTCATCTTATCTAAAAAGTTGTTGTAAGCATTTAAAATTAACCAAAAACCATAAATGTAGATACTTGGGGATATTGAAATAAATTGACGAAACGTTGACAATTATATAAATAACACAAGTCACAAAATGAAATTGAGGTATACCTTCTCTCAAACAAGTCGACCTTTATGTTTTTGAGGTCGCTGATCACGATCCCGATATATAAATCCAGCACGTCTGAATCAAGGTTATATGAAGGTCAAATTGAATTTTTTGAATGATATAACTTTTTTGATACCGGAATCTGAAACAACGAGAAATTTTACTTCCAAATACGTGTTGACCTGTTGTTGAAAGTCATCTCTGGGGATTATCTGGAGGTCATTTAAAGGTCGAATCTGAGATTTGAATCTGCCGGCAGAAATTTCTGCTTGAAACGAGACGTCAGTTGACCTTTACGTTTTTTGGGCCGCTGATGAATCCAATGTTCACGTGACTCCAGCGCGTCTAGATCAAGGTCAAATAAAGGTCAAATTCCGTTTTTCTAATTATATAACTTTTTTGATTCCAGAATCCGAAACGTCCAAATACACGTTGACCTGTTAATAAAAGTGACCACTGGAGGTCTTTTGATTAGCGATTCATAAAACGTAAAGGTTGACTGGTCCGAAATCCGACGTCTCATTTCATATTGGAAATTCCAGACGGTAGATTCAAATCTCAGATTCGACCTTTAAATGACCTCTAAATGACCTCCAGATGTCACTTTTATCAACGGGTCAACACGTATATGGTCGTAAAATTTCCCGTTCTTTCGGAATCCGGGGTCAAAAACGTTATATCATTCAAAAAACGAAATTTGACCTTCATTTAACCTTGATCCAGACGTGCTGAGAATACCGGGGTCGTAATCAGCGACCTCAAAAGCATAAAAGTCAATTGATCTGAGAGAAGGTAAGTCTCAATTTTATTTTTGTAGCCCTGTGTAATTTTTGTTTTCGACAAACAACCTAAATTCAGAAAAATAAAGAAACACTATTCCCACTATTGACAACAAACTGAATAAAGAAACAGTTCTAATGTCGAAATTGAATTACCTCTAATTCAAGTTTGAAACACGAAATTTTGGATGTCCAATAAATTTCGAAAATTCAAGTTTATGACCGGCAATTAAATATTAATCGAGACTCATTATATTATTGTTTTTAATTATTGTAATCAAACCACTGCATCTAAACACAATTGTCATCAAAATAACCGGATAAACGGATACTTATCCAGCACTTCCCGCATACACCACGCTACGAGATGACCTAATGGGGCTAATGGGGATGATGGGAATAGACAAAGACAACGCACGACAACCATAGAATGGGATGGAGTCGTTCAATAATGAGGACATTTACTCCGATTTGGATACAAGTACACCAAATACAAGTTTTTCTGCGGAATTTATTTAACGAGTATCTATATTTGAGTTAAAGCACTCAATATGATGCTCAATATTAAGTGAAAATGTACTCAACAATTTCACTCAATGGATTTTTTTACAGTGTACAGTTAATTTAAGTTTGAAACAAGAAACTTCATGGTTAAAACACGAACCTTCGAAATTCTGAATTTGTCCCTACTTATGTTCAGAAATACAAATTTGAACTCAAAATTCCATGTTTCAGACTCTCATAAACTCTATTTCGATTTCCTTAAACATTAAAGTTAATTGAATTTGAAATTTCGAAGTCCTCGTGTCTAATTTAATTTAAAAATTCGTCAACATTAGGAAAATAGGATCACATAGAAGTCAAATGGAATAAAAATGAAGAACAACTGCAGGACGTAGCGAAAAATGTCGAAGAAAAAACATGCACGATTGAAGCCAAATTAAACCACAATTCATCAAATTGTCTTCAACACCGAGCAAAAAATAGAATCAAACTGAGAACCACCATAGTTTAACGAACTTTTAAGAATTCGGATTAAAGATTAAACCTCAGTTTTATTAAAATATTTTGATTTCACATTCGAAACAGCCAGTTGTCGAAAAATTGGCCATCCATTTGTTCCGTACATTTCTGCAAATCGATATATTACACATAACGAATCTCCAGTTATTAGTAACACATTTTTCTAAATAGGAATGTAAACACAATCTATTTCCTTCGGCAGCGTGACGAGGCAGCATTAACTAAATTTATAAGTGCCTCCCAAAATAGAACTTTTTACTACTACTCATACTACAGTTGCCAAGGTATAATAATAGTTAGGCCGGATTTGTTTATTTGTGGAACGGTGCTATTGAGGTGAATAGCTGCATATATTCGAAACGACCTTATAATTGTCTCAGGTAAATTGCTTGCTTGTAAAATTTACAACCTTTTAATTGCTAGCCCAAACACATTTTTTTATTTAACTTAGAATACGAAATAATTTTTTCAGATCTTCCAAAAGTTTGACAAACTCTCAAATTTTGCAATTCATTCTATTTATTACTACTATGAGTCCTAATTTCGTCTTAGCTAAGAATAAACCAGAAATTAGACAATGGAATTTTAAAAATAAAATTTGGCAATTTCGTCGTCCCCATAAGAGAGCCTCCTTGTATTAATGATATACAGGATGTTTCATTTAATATTTTTAAGTTGTCCTTGGTTTGACATTAAAGGTCAAGGCCAACTTTATTTGTTCGCTTATGTTTGGGACACTCTGTATAATAAAGGCTGTTTCTTAAATTGTATGAGTATACTATATAAATGGGTTGTTTTAAGAATTTTGATTTTACCTGTACAGGGGCATCCCCATGTTGTCCTTGAACCAAAATAACATCGTCACATTGTCCCCAGGAAGAGCTGGTGTTATATCACAAGGTAACTCTGCATCTTTTCCTGGTACCGCCCAAACCACCTTCCCTGGCACTGAAACAATGATAAAACTAATCTAAAATACATTTGTCGGATGTATAAAATTTTGTGTAACTTTATAAAATTTGAACTTTAATGACTGCAAAAAGTTACAAGGAAATCTTCTGGATGTCTGTGGATATACGTGGTAGGAAATTTTACCTTTTCATTTGTTCTGTTTCGAAACAATAAGAATACCTTTTTACAGTTGCCAGCTGCGAATTAATGAAATTCCCATATTGACTTTGCGTTTTAAATTCAGCTGTGTGCTGGCATTCTACTTACTCCTAAAATGCTTTTGGAGATTCCAAATACTACTACCACAACAGCTTGAACATAACAAAAGTATTTGCTAGTGATACAGGGTGGTCTTACTACAACGTGTCAAACTCTAACAAGTATAAAAAATAAGGCAAGCTTTTTTTTAATAACAATTAATAAAACACAAAAATTTGTTTTAGATAGCATTCATTTTTATAACAATTTCTAAGACTAGAACAGACTATTGATACGGAAAAAAAATAACAGGTACACCCCAGTTTTTGATAGTTTGGTAGTTTTTATTATGTTGTGCCAGGAACATGTGATTTTTATTTTTCTTTCTCCAAGAAGGAAAAAAGATACGAAAAAAATTCAAGAGACAAAAAAGGTGTATTTTTAGTTGTATTTTTTTGTCAAAAATATTGATTAAGGTGCCTCCCCGTGACGCCACTGAACTTAATAATTTTAATCTTAGTTAGGGTTAAATTAGACCCTTTTTACCATAAATAACTGCCAAATTTCAACAAAATGAGCTAAACGATTATTAAAATTTTTACGAAAATGGATATTTTAAAATGTTTGACAGCCTGTATCTTAAAAACTAAGCATTAGCTATGTCACCTTTATCACTCAAAGAATCTCTCCTTGAAGTTGGCAACGTACTTAAATAACACCCTTTATAAATATATTTATTTATTTGGGTGGCTAAAAAAAACGATTTTTTTCGTGTCTCTTGTGAAAATATGTTAATTTATCATGTTTTAAGAGCCCCCTCAAAATATCAGCCCAAAAAAACTTTTTAGAGGTCGCTCAAGATTTTTTAAAATTTCCAAGATCGTCAAAAATTGATTTATTTATTTTTTTAAATTTTTTTCTCGTTATTTTATCATTTTCTAAGCTGAAAAAAATCTCGATTCTGAAAATTTCAAATCGATATTTTAATTTCTAAAGGTGACTAGACAATCATTTTAACTTTCAAAGTAGTGTACCTAAAATGTTTTCGAGCGACCTCTAAAAATAAATATCAATGAAATAATAATTTTTTTATTGAATTTGACGAACAAATGAATAGAAATAAATCACGAGATACTTAAAAAATTGCTCGAGGCAAAATTTACTACCGCACTGTGAGTATCGAATATTTATAATTTTTTAATTTTTTTAAATTTAAGTGTCTCCTGATTTATTTCTATTCTTTTGTTCATCAAATTCAATAAAAAAAGATTACTAGTTCGTTGATATTTATTTTTTAGAGGTCGCTCGAAAACATAGGTTTTGAAAATTAAAATAATTATGAGTGACCTTTAGAAATTAAAATATCGATTTGAAATTTTCAGAATCGAGATTTTTTTCAACCAAGAAAATGATAAAATAACGAGAAAAACAAATTAATTTTTGACGATTTTGGAAATTTTTAACTGTTGAGCGACCTCTAAAAAAATTTTTTTTGAGGGGGCTCTTAAAACATGATAAACTAACATATTTTCACAAGAGACACGAAAAAAATAATCGTTTTTTTTTGGGCCACCCTAATATTTATCTTGGTATAAGAATGTTTTTACTTGTACCTAAACGTTAAAAAAATAAATTAACTAGATTAGATAAATTATGGCTTCCCTGTACAGTTTCGCCAAATTTAGTTCAGCAGGACTGAGCGACGGGATAAATGCGATGCTGATAAAATCAATTTTAATATCGAATACCATTTTAAAACGGATAGCAAAATCGCGTTGATAATTGACTCATTATTACAGTGAAAAGGCTTCTGTAATGGGGACATATATTTGTTTCGGAACATTTTCCGATGAGTAATTGGATTATTACGCTGTGTGTAGCACTCATAAAATGCAATCTGTAATTTTGGATCCCCTTTGTTTCCTATATGGTCACTCATACCGTTTAATCATAAATTTTAACTTTGCGAATTTCGTTATACACAAAGTGAAAATTCGGTTTGGGCATGACATTTGTCGAATCGGCGTGCACAATGAGGATTTAAATATGACACGCCGTTGTCATCTGTTAATTACATAATGGCGTAAAAAAATATTTTATAAATGGGAAATTTGTTGACGCTGCCTTTTTCATCTACACACGTTGCACTGCAATAGAGCTAGCTGCGAAATGTTGGCCTCTCGACAAAGATAATGCCAAAATGCATTTTAAAAGGTAAAATGGGGAATGGTTCCTGTTTTTTTGGTACCGAGTGGAAAGTGTAGCAAATTTTGAAATACGGGTGTCCCAAAAGTGACGCCCGTCGTTCTAGGATTTGATTAAGGGGATAAAAGCAAATTGAAAACCAAGAGTGGAAAATTTTCCAATTGTTTTTCTTTGTTGAGCTATTCAAAAAAATATTCAAAAAACTAAAAAAGTCAAAATCCATTTTTTTCTCAAAACTGAGGTCTGTGCTTAAAGGATTTTTAATCAGAGGACTGACTCTTGGCATTATTGGTTGCTCTATTACTTCCATAATAACAGCCTGAATAAAAACTACTGCATTTTCAATATTTCTATAATTTTGCTGCCAACTTTACCGTTCAAATACACCAATTACACTTAGCTGCATTTTTAATAATGTCACAGTTTAGGAGAATGACGAGTACTATGCCAACTGAACAATGTTTGCTCTCGACTCATACATTGCTTACTTATTTTTTAATGGCTTTTGAAGAATAAAATAATAGATATTAGTTGTATTAAAACGAAGTGATCTAGTATGCTGTGGCAATCATAAATAAATTATTCAACATGATGGAGCTCCGTCACATTATGGTTTACGAGTAAGAAATTACCTAAATGAAAACTTCCCAGGCAAATGGCTTCGAAGAGGTGGACCCATAACGTGACCTCATAGATCACCAGATCTAAATGTAGTTTTTCTTTTGGCGAACCTGTTGTAAATCGAGAAAATGTAGTAACACGTATGCACACTGCTGTCGCGTTAATGGACCAAGAGATGCTACAAAGGGTTCGTGCTTCAATGTTCAATCATACCAATATTTGTCTTGAAGAAGAAAGAACTTATTTGAACACCTTTTGTAAAAACAATTTATATTATTTAAGCTCATTATGTTTTTAGTTTATAAGTATTTTCCTCTCCGTTTTATAAAATTGTTTTATTATTAAACTCTTTTTCTCTATCCTTTTTAGGTTAAAATAATTCCTTACGCACAGGTACTACCCTAGTTTCCGATAGTCGGTAACCGACTATACTTACCTACTATTGGTTATAAATTTGTCTTGGTCCCCATAGGCACAGACAACAGTTTCGAGACAAGAATATTGGATTTTCACTTTTTTATAGTTTTTTGAACATTTTTTTTGAATAACTCAACAAAGAAAGACAATCGGAAAATTTCCAACTCTTGATTTTCGATTTGTTTTTGTCCCCTTAATCAAATCCCAGAAGGACGGGCGTCACTTTTGGGACACACTGTATATGGGAGGTCATGTATGGGGTTTGTCATAAAAAAGATACAGAGCCCCAAAGGGATTCTCAGCGATTTACCTTTTCGGTTCTAACTTTTAAATCTACTTATATAATTTAATGAAATTTTAATATTTTGTAGATGTTTTACATTGTCAGGGAAGTCAGAAACGGACTTGCCGCCACATTTGTTGGGCCAAAATTTTGACAGGTGTCATTTTATAGAGCTGAAAATAGAATTTTTAAATACTTTGGTCATTTTTCTTTATCTTCGATAAAATTAGCCGTTTTCGAATCAAGTTTTTGTATAACACGTTTAAACATTGACTTTCGTATTTTATTTAATAATTATCAAGTTTATTAACATAAGATATTTAAACACAATAACAATATAACTAATAATTCGTATTAAAATAATAAAATTTGTCATTATTATTATTACATCTCATTAATACTGACATGCATCTAACTTATGATAAGCACTCGGCAATTGTATGGAGGCAAGAAGAATTTATTCTGGTTTCCAAATCACTTAGGTAAACGCAAGGATGTTAAAAATTCGAAAGCTTTGCTTCTTCTTGTTTACTTGAGCAGATTTTCGCAATCTATCTCTCTCTATACATTTCCTTGTCCGATGGATGTTCTCTAGTTGTACTTGAAGCGACATTCCAGGATTGTATCGAATTTCGTTGCAATGGTGTGTTATTCTTTCTATCAGGTATTCTTTGATGTGAACTGACGCCGAATACACAAGCCTCTGTAAATTTCCCCATAAAAAGAAGTTCTATAAAATAGGCTCACCTCGACCTATCTATTGATAACCAAGAGTATTTGATAAGTGATGAATTAAATTGCCAATATGGGGTGGTGCATTAATTAATGACTATTAATAAATCACGTCTGATTTCTAATTTCTAAAGGCACATGGCACCATTTATTCTGTATGCAAAAAAGGAACAGTCCAATAATCCCCGCCCATATGTTAACCAAGCACTTTTGTTGGTGCTTTGTCTGTATTATTGCATGGGGATTTTCTTCATGCCAGATATGCAAATTGTGACAATTTATTACTCCGTCTCAGGTGAAACCGGCTTCGTCCGTGAACAAAACAATACTTGTAAAATTTGGGTTTTGCGTAAATCGTTTCAAAAACCAATTTGCGTAATTGACTCTTGCAGGATAATCAGCGGGAGACATGGCATATACCTTTTGGACGTGATTAGGATGCAGCAGTTGTTCTGGGAGGGTATCATGAAAGGCCCTTTATCGTATGAACTTGGACCGACAGCTTTTTTACCCTATTAGAGGGATTTTCAGCAATCTCATC